GGGAAATATAAGTATATTCACAAAACTACATTTATGTTAGAAATTTGATTAAAACACCTGTAATCCAGGTATCTTCTCTGGCCCAATGTCTGAGGACTAAGCTAGGGCATTTATTCTCTCTTACTTGTTTATGTTCCCCTCCAAGGATTTTTCCTTCTTAGCTGGGTACGCTGGAGGGGAGGCACAGAGGCTTCTGCTCCCAAGCATTGCTGCCAGTGCGGGGTGGGACACCTAATCCAGCCTGGAGACCCCGGCGCTGAATCTCCCTGGCTGGTGAAGGGACAGACCCTGCTGTTAGCTCCTTGCCTGCCCAAAGCTACCTTGGTGCTTGAAGGGAGGAAAAGGGAAGGTGAGAGGAGAGAGACCAAGCACTTACGTACGTGTGAGGCTACTTACTGGCTTGCTCCAGACTGCTCCCACACATTGCTTTTTGGATCACCCTGTGTAGCATCTTGGTCTCTCCACTTCGCATACAGCGAGCAGAGGCATCTGGTGTAGTCTAGGATAGCCTGCCATGACCAAGTGCCTGCAATACCTGATGCAGATGGGTGATTTTGCCTACAATATAAGCATGTGTGTAGACATACATGCTCGCAACTCAAAATTTAAAATTTGAATTCTGTTAGTCAAGCTCATTATTTACTTCTCAAGAGGTGTGTAGGCACAATTCAATAGTCATTGCTTCCTTTTTGGTTTTCTTTTTTAATTTTCTTGGATTTCAGATATGACCTTTATTAATTTCTCAGCAGGTTTTTTTGGTGCAGTACTTTCTATGTGCTTTTAAGGCACTGGGGATATATAGCACTTCTGTTTCTTTTGCCTTTGTTTTGGAATTCCCGAGGCTGCCTTAAACATCTAATTTCTTTAATTGTGTTCATGGAATTTAGTGATTAATTATTTTGAGTAAGTGTGCTTGCATAAAAGAATTAGCATAAGAAAAATCATGGCTACTGATGTCTGTTCTCCTTGCTTTATAAAGTGATTTTAAAGCCATTTGTGCAAGGTGTTGCTAATCGTTTTTGTATGACATACATTGACATAGGTATGTTCTATTCATGCTATACATCTGTAATGCCAGGAGCTCTGTTTAGAAAAGTAGACTGCTTTCTCTCTGTGGCTGTTGCAGTCCAAGTAATAATTTACAAATCTGTTTCTATGAACAAAATGGTGCCACCGATACCCCAGACAAATAGACAAGGTCAAATTGAATAGGATATTACAGTCATAGTGTACTCAGTTGACAGTATGTGAACTGCACTGTTCCTGCGGAAGATCAAAACCTCTTTGCTGTGTATAAGCAATATTTTGTGGTTCTAATTTGGCCTTTACAGGCTAGAAACATGGCCATGTTGCATCGTATCCCCATCACAAAAGTGCAATCTCATCAGGGTCTTCCTAAAACACTGTGCTGATGTAGCTGCTGCTCTGCCAAGCTGGGTGTCCCAGTGACTCCTGGCTGCTATAGGATGCTTCCTGCCCAGATAGGAAGAAGGGTTGTGTTTCTCCAACTGTGTAGAGTAGAAAATGTTCTTTTACCATGGTGTTGTATAAGTGACCCTGAATTCCACCATAGTTCACCTTGTTATTAGTGAATTGACATGGATTCAATGCAACATTGCTGTGTCTTTGCCTTTACTTTAGGTGAGATTATTATAATGAACTGTTAAAGATTTTTGCTTGAAATTAATTTGTAAGGTCCAACCAGCGTAAAGAATATTTGTCTGCCCCCATAATGGGGTAAGCCATTTTCTTGTGCTCTCGTTGCACTGAGTTTCTGTTCGTTTCAGGGTACAGTAGGGATATTTGGAATTAAGGGATATTTGGGAGTAGGTTTAAAATATTTAAAATTGGCTGGGAGATGTGTGCTTCTTGTCTCTTAGAGCTGACTTCTATCTTATGGAATAAATAGTTGAGTACTCCTGTCATTTAAAGTATGTTCCCTTTCTGATTGCCAAGAAGGCCTTACCAAATAGGTTGTAAGGGTCACTTGAAAATTTGATAGCTTATTTCTGGTTTTGAGGGTTGTAGCTGGGCTGCCAGCATTTCATGATGATTGTCATAGTAGATCTAATTATGTTTATGCCTCTCATGATTGGCAAACAATTTATTGGAGTTAGCTGCTACAGCCTCACTCTTATGCCTCTCCAGTACATCAGAAGGGACATTATTATAAATAGATGATATTCATGGAGATGGGAAGATTGCTAAGCTATTACTGTGCTGCTTTGAAGATACCACACTGTCATTGTTCTCAGCTTCTTATTTTAACTACCAGTGAAATTAGTGTTACTATCCCCACATGACATTGAGGGTTCTTTCCTTTGGTCAAAAATCTGAAAGAAAATTCATGTTGAGTGTCTTGTCAGGAGAAAAATTTTTACAGGTCTAGAATTTGTTTTTTGAGAGATATTGCTAAATAAAGATGAAAACCAAAGCTGCAGCAGTAGATAAAGCCTTTGTCATCTAGTAAGAGAAACTACAATTATTTAAGTAATTGCAACCATCTTATGTGTAGTAAAAAGATAGACTATAAGGAAGATTTCAAGCAAAGTGCAGGCTTTTCCAGAACCTGAAGAAGTACTCTAAGGGACAGGAGATCAGGACCTCTTCAGCAATCTCTGTGGCATTTTTTCCATCTATTCTTGACTGGAGAGGTAGAGGCACAACATATTAGTTCACCAACCACGCAGTGTAGTTTCTTGAACTTTTCTCCTATATCAAAGTTAAGAAATACTGAAATACTCTTTAATGGATGGAAAAGATATCTCTCCATCTTCGGACTCAGGTGGAAACTATTGGTTCATAGGACCATAGTTACCTGCAATTACTGCCCTGGATATCTTTCATAGTAGAAGATACCCTGAGGATACTGTGGCCTGGCAAAGGGTTGCTTCAAAAAGTGTAGCAGGAAATCTAGTTCACAGAGATGTATTCTCAACTGGCAGAAAAGTGCTTCCAGCAGTGAAGCAAATACTGCTTCCCCAGACGAAATTATGGTACACTGGCAAAAAGACAGATTTTGCTGGTTATAAATTGTTTTGAACAAGGGTTTTTAGCAGTCTTAAAATCATACGTTAACTGATACTGTTATACTGACTGAAGTGTTGAGCCTGGTTTGAAATTGCAGAAAAGCAATCCAAACTCATCATCAGAACAGTATGGCAAATTCTCTCTGACATGTTTATTCAAGTTGTCATTTGGACTCAAATTAGGGATAGGCTATTGACTGTCTTCTACTAAATCCCTGAGACAATGGTATTCAGTCGTTCCAACAATGTCTCCATGCAATGATGTTGCAGAAAATGTGATCGTGAATGTGCCAAGAACCATCAGAAGTTCTGTCTTCAAAAACGTGGCCCTAATTCAGACAGCAGCTGGACCACAGTGCTTTTATCGACAGGCAGGAAAGCAGGCACCGAAGCTTTCCACACCAGCACGCCTTGCGCATCTCACTGTGTTCTGTGCTATAAAAGGCTGATTGGTGTGTTCTAAGCCAAAATTGGAGATAATGACAGATGGAGGTGGTCTCTAATAGATGCAAAAAAATGTCAACCTCCTCCAATAGAGAACATCATATATAGATTTTCTGATGGCCATTTAAGATATTGCTTCATTTATAAAATGATCCTAGTAGTCGCCTATTGATTTAGAACCAGGAGACTTTGAGCTAAATGGGATGCTTTGCTCGCTCTTGGAAATTTTGCAATCTTACCATGGTACATAATTTATTCAGTTGCTATTCTAAGATGACAAAAATCAATCTCTTCACACCTCTTGAAAGACATCATTCGCTATAGAAAGCTCTCTAGCCAGCTCAGACGGGCTTGTTTTCAAGTGAAAGTAATGCTTGTGCCAGCATAATAAAATGCTGATCATGTAATTTCAAGAAACTCTCTAATAAGTAAGTGTTTGATACATCTTGTTGACATTTAAGTTCCTGTTGGTTATCTTCTAATATTTACTTTGAACGGGCCAGATATCTAATCTGGTTTTTGGTTCATGAAGTGTGCACCTTTAAAGGGAAACCTATATGAATTACAGTCTTGTCTGGCTTTATAACATTACAGATTTGCACAAATCACCCGACTTCTGTAATTTCTCTGTGAAGCCACCCTGCAGCAAGATTTGAGCAGGAAAATGTAGTTTCATTTCAGGGATGGTTTTGCTATTATAAGATTCATTTTTGTTTCATTTGAGAATGAAGATAATTTCTACATCACTTCTGAAAGCGGATGTGGTCCATCTGTCTTGGAGAGGTTTGCCCTGGAAACTAGTGCCCATCAGGCAGGGTGCTGAGGAGCTGGGAACATGGGTTACCAGAAGACAAGATGATTTTTTCCAGGAAAATCACCTTTCCAGAACTCCTGGGGTCGTAAAGAGGATGCCATAGCATTATTTGAATTATTGAATTATTTTTTTTTTAAAAAAAGTCTTTTACTCATAGTAATCAGATTTTTAATACGGTACCACACTGAGGCCAGTACGTGAAGGCAACTGTTTTCCAGAGCTTTGATAAGTTGAAGTAAATGGAAAAACAGGAGCTTCTGCTAATATAGACACCCTGGTACATCTTAGTGCCTATCTTGGGCGCTCCAGTTTGAGCAAATTGCTACATAAGATTAAAGTCTGAGCTGAAATCCTTTACATGTAGGAAATTAATGGCATAGTAAGATTACCCTGTGATGTAGCAAGCACTCTTGCCTCTTTTTGTCTTATGTACATGGACTGGGGTCTTACAAGAGAGTATCTCTCCAGGCAGGGATTGCAGGAAGCGGAGGAGGTGAGAGAGGCAGGCAGTGCTGCCTGCCTGGGCTGCGCACTGGTGGCCGACCGCTCTCAGTACAGCTGTGTTCGCCTCCCCAGCGTGCCAGGGATGGGCACGGCTCACCACGCCTGCCAGCCTGGAGGAGGAGTCACACATCAGTCAACCACATTTTTACATCTCTTAAAACTCGGCACCTTTTAATATCTTCATCACTCTAATTTTCACTTCTCTGCAGCTGAAGTTCAAAGTGAAATCGAACGGATTTTTGAGTTGGCACGGACACTGCAGTTGGTAGTACTGGATGCTGATACCATTAACCACCCAGCTCAACTCAGCAAGACCTCTCTGGCTCCCATTATAGTATATGTAAAGATTTCTTCTCCTAAGGTAAATATTTTACTGATATTCATGCTGTTTCAGTTTGGGTTTTTTTTTCCCCTTTTTTTGGTCTTAAATGCAGATAATCACATTAAGGTTCAGACCTCTATATTGTTATTGTTTCCCTTTGGATGGTGAAATATTATTAATCAAAAAAGTATCTTAGCTCTGGTGTTAGTGTTACCAAAACCCATTTTGGAAAAGATGCTGTAGCTCAAATGGTTTTTTAAATTGGGTTTGCGCTTTTAGTATCAATCATATAAGGAATGCTAACAGTTTGTTAAATGAAAATCATACAGAAATGAAAGAAAGCTTTTTCCAATAGTGAATATCAGACTGATTAGTAAACTTTAACATCTCCTGGTAATGCTCTCTCATTCTGTGAAAAAACCTGCACAAACCTTGTGAAGAGGCGTTTGGGAGAGAATGAATTATGGGAGGAGAACTCAGGAGAGCAATTAAAGAATTTCAACTTAGAAACAAGCAAAACCAGAAGCAGCAGAAGAAAATAGGACAGGAACTTTTTAGTGCTCGTTACAGGAAAGGAGATGTTGGGAAGTAAATGAAAAGTAGCTTGTTCTGAATACAAACAGCATGGGAAATGCTCCTGAAGCCAGTAAATGAAAAATTTGATCTGCTGAAGTGGACAATTAAAAATGTAAATGTTTTAAGTGGTTATATATGTATGTTAAGTCTGAACCTGCTCACTTTTATTAATGTCTTATTTTTCGCAGGTTTTACAGAGGTTAATAAAATCCCGAGGGAAATCTCAGGCCAAACACCTTAATGTTCAGATGGTGGCAGCTGATAAACTGGCACAGTGTCCTCCTGTGAGTTACTGTTAATTTATGTCTCATCTTTGAAAGTTGCCTTTCTTTTCAAGCACGAGGTTAATTACGTAATTTCTGGGAATGTTTGCTGCCTTCTGGGCATGTTTCACTATTGCTTTTTTTGCAAAACGCCTGAGGTCTCTGAGCTCTGCAGAAGTGTGCAGGGCAAAATCAGTCCTAGTCACAAGCAGTTATTAGGATGTATGCTGATACACTGACTGCTTGAACAAACTGAGCATTAGTTTTACTTGATAATTCTTTTGGGGTTATTGGTCTAAAAATGAACCTTAGTGACTGTGCTTTATTTCTGGCAATTTAAGATAAGGCCAGTGGTTTGGGTAGCTCCCCTCGGGCATATGTTACCTCACACTGCTGGTATTCTTGGTCACAGTTTTGGCAAAGAGCTGTGGGGTACTGCGTAGCTGAGAGCTCTGCAGTCCTTCTGTTGTTGTGCACTGAAGCAAATTCTCTCAGTGTCCGCCTATAAAGTGGAGATGATGAGACTCCAGCTGTGTTTTAAACGTGGCAAGTGTTATTACCTGCATACTCAGCTGTCAAGAGGATGGGTAAGAGACCAGAAGATGAAGGTTCAGTTCGGTTGCAGATACGGAAATTTGGCATAGTTACATATCTGAGCGAGGGGAACATTTTCATCATTTAAGTTCGAGCCTCTCAGTTATGAGACTACTCGATGAGGAATGCTAGAGACCTGCCTAGGCTCTCAACGCTGCCTTCATGAGTACTTCTGTCTCCCTGACCAGGGAGCGAATGTAGGAAACACGCCTCCTAACTTTAGATGCCTAAAATTAGACCATGTGACTAAACTCTTACCTAATATTTGTATGACACTTGGAAACTGGATGATCTGTATTACTTGAGTTTCTTACTGTTGTTAGTTATTGGTCTTAGTTTGTCCTAGTTTTCTTTTAAATTATTCTAGATATGGGGAGTGAATCCCTTTTCTTGCCATTCCATTTTGTTCCAATACCTAAAAACTTCAATATTTAACCTTTCTTTCTGCATATTTGAGAACTAAACCCAAAAGGGTGAAATATCATAACACAGGTATTAGAAATGTGATTCATTTTTGATGAATGGAAAGTGTGGTCATCAATGTCTTTAGCAGATCTCCCTGGTGGTTATTCTTACTAAAACCTTTCCTTTATCAGGAAATGTTCGATGTAATTCTTGATGAGAACCAGCTTGAAGATGCTTGTGAGCACCTTGCTGACTATCTGGAAGCCTACTGGAAGGCCACACATCCACCTAGCAGCAATCCTCCTAACCAGCTTCTCACTCGCACACTTGCAACAGCCACTCTTCCTATTAGCCCAGGTCCAAATATTAATTTACAGGTACAGTTTTTATCCATCTCTTCTTTTTTTTTCTGTCAACTTCTTCCTCTGCCAAAGTACAGCGGTAGTCTGATACTAGAATGTGCTGGATATGTCTTACTGTGGTTGATAGAGTAAGAGCATTTTCAGTGGACATTCATCCATTTTCAGTATAAAAGGCAAATACAGGCACATTATTGTTATTGCTGTTGTATTCACAGTAGCACATGTTTGCGTATTGACTAGGGGGCTGGTTTTGATTCCAAGGACTAAGCCAGCCTGACTGAAAACATATGGTGATGTGAAGTGTAATACTTGAGATTTTATTGTGCCCAGGACACCGCTGTGCCAGTAATATTTGTACCAGCCACAGGCATTTATATAGCTGGCCGTAAGTAATCCAGTCAGAGCTGGGCTAATACTATGCACGTTACAGCCTCTGGTAGCTTTCTGACTGATGAGTGCACCATTGCTAACAGGCAAATCCCAGCCCCAGAGGCCCTGTATGACAGATTGGGTTATCTATAGAGCAGATCCACAAACATTGGAGGGAATCTGTTCCTGTCTTCCCACAGGCTATAGAGTTGTAGACGATGAGAATGACTGACTGTGTTAGTGAAGTCTCAAGGTCAAAGTGGCCTTTCCAGTGTTTCCTTTGTTCATTGGCCATTCATTCATTGGCCATTGCTGTGAAAAGAAGATGCTTCCTTCAAGCCGAACTTTTAGAAAATCAAAGAAAAAAAAAATCTGCACCCAAATTAAAATGCTGAAAAATTGCTTTTTTTTTTATGCTCTTGCAAAACTATTTTTTGTGTCAAAGAATTTATTTCCCATCAGAACACTGCAGACTTGGCAGGTTTGTCCTTTAACAAGAAAAATTGGATCAGCCACCTTGCATGGTATCTCCTTCTCTTGGTTGCAAAAGCAGTTGCAGGAAAAGACTGTAAGCTGTAGCTCATTTCTGCTTTTTTTTTCTGTCCTCAGAGCTGAAACACCCTGAAAAAATTGTGAGCTAGAAGAATTTCTGAGTATGAAATTCAGTATTGTTGTGTGCAGACTTGCTAGATAAACTTTCTTTGCTTTGTAGACGTGTTTATTATTTTGCTCAAGTTCTTTTTTACGCCTTTTGGGTGTGGATTTATAGTTCACTTACTCATTTTATTAACTACATTCTCTGGAGGAACTGTACAGAGTTTTTAATAACACTTTTCTGAATGTTGTGCTATCTCCTTAAAAATTAACAGATTTTTATTTTAAGGACTAAAAATGAGAATGTATTTGCAGTTTCACAGTTTATTTGTAGGTCTACTAATCCAATAGTGCAAAGCAAAGGGGGTCCCTTACGGGCCAGAGAACTTTTACGTTCCTTTTGTTTCATTTTCCTATGACACATTTCCAGCTGACATCGCAAACCTGAGCCTGCCACAGTCTTGGAATAGAGTGGGTTTATTTTTTAATCACAGTGGCTGAACCTATTCTCTTAAAAGTGTTCAGACGCTCAATTTGAAGAAGTTAGTCTGTCTCTGTGCTATTTTTGTGGACTGCTCTGCAGAGAAAAACCATGCCATCAGCCATTTGGCTTGGAGGGTCCACATCGGCACCACAAAGCATTTGAGTCGTTCTCCCCAGGGTCCGGTGCACCTTTTTGCCATGAGACATACTTGATTTTTGTGGGTTTTCAGTCCCGGCTGTACATCGTAATGAGAGATTTGTGTTGCCAGCTGCCAGAGTGGTATTTTTGTAGCATGATGCTGACTGTGTGCATTGCATGGCACGGCACAAGGTGCTTGAAGGTGTGAGGCCTCCTGGGACTGTTTTTGAAATGAAGTTGGTGAACACCATACATCTATCTATCTGATGGAGAGCTTTGGAGCCAACTCTCCTGACAATTGTTCTCAGGTTTCCTCTTGAAAATGGCTAATCACAAAAAGAAGTCTGGATCAACCTCACACACACCTGGTGCAGGCAATTAGAGATGACTGGGTGGAAATGGGGAGCAAGCCAAATGGACTCAGTGGACACAGACTTCTCTCTCCTCTTTCAACACAGCTTAAACTTCTTTCCAAGAAATCCTACTTCTTTGAAATTGCAACCTGAATAATGAAATGCACTTATCTCAAACTGTCTCCATTTTAGGAAAAAAACTTTATGACATTGGGCCATAAAATTTCTGCACTGCAGAATCTAATCCAAATCAGAGCCCTAATTTGGTTATGAACCACAAAGGCAGACCCTAATCCAGATTCAAACATTGCCTGCTCAGTGTCCCTGTAATATTTAGGGAAAGTTACTGGCAATTCATGTGCCCATAAATCCCAATAGCCCTAACACTGTTCTGAAATTGGAGGTATTGGTTCTAAATTTCTTCATTGTGGTGCTCCAGACATACTCATTGTATCAGGGAAGATGCATCTGAGTTTGTAAAAGTAGCATTCTGTTCAAAGCAGGTTCAAATTTTGCGTTTGTTCTCAAACCACAGCAATGACAGATTTTATTAGTCGTGATTATACCTATAGGTATGTACGTATTTGGCATTTGACTGTATGAGCATTAAAGGGTTTCCTGTGTGTACCCAGTTCATGTGCCTTAAAAACAATCATGGTGGTGAACTAATAAAATGTGTTTATACATCCAAAGCAGGCATTGCTTTAGACCCTTCAGCTTTTCACTTGATTTCAGTCATACTTCACCTCCACTGAGTCATTTCTGTTCACCTTGAACACATCTATTCATGTTTACAATTACTACATTCCTTTTCTGGCAAATCAGAATCATCTTGAGAATCATAAAAACAAGAACAAAAAGGAAATTCGATGGCTGTTCCTGTTACCTTGTTCTCACCTATACCATTTGTTTCAAATTAGGAACACATGGAGCAATGCAGCTAGTCGCTGGGAAGTTAACTGGAAAAAATGTTGTCTTAGAAAATGAAGATTTGTCCAATTTATCGAATTGCCGATTTGAAATATGTTGCTTTTTATAAGTTTCTGATAAAATACAGATTTATTCCTGTCCAATTTCATGTTGTTTTACTTTTTTGGGTTGCTAGGAAACCCACCTGCCAGGATCTGTGGCTGGAGGACAAAGTTTCCTCCTTCCTGTAGCGCTTTTCACAAAACAGAAAGAAAAGAAGATTCGTCCGTGAGGTGCCCTGGAGGCAATCCTTATTTTTTGACAATTGGGAACATAGGAGGGCAAACTTTAGACTAACTTTGGTAAATTCAGAACAGTCTCACAAACAAATGCCTGTATAACTCTGTTAAAACCTACTTTAATTTTGTGCCAGTAGAGATGATTTTGTCTCAATGTTCTTCATCTCATGTGAGAAAGATTATTCAATTTCACCATAAATTATTTCTTAAACTTTTGCAATTAAGGTTGAAAAGTCTTTGGCTGTGGTTTGGGAATAAAAGCAGGTCAATGTAATGAAACGCCCAAACGAATTAAATAATGCCACTTGTTCATTTTGCAGTGATTTCAAAGCATTATGCTGGTGAAGAGTAGGTTTGTTATTACCTGGTAATTTTTATTTCAGTCTTTTAATAGTAGTGGTGTGTTAGGTAATTCTGTAGGTGATAATATCACTCTCCTCCTGCTTTTCTTGGCAATAGTCTCTTGAGCTCTTAAAAGTATGAGGTCAAAGTTTAATCTTTCATTACCATGAAAAAATGGAATTATTGCTGAGAAAAACAGAAGGTCAATGATACTATTAGTATCATAATACAAACTTTATTCATACCAGATTCAATTGAATTTCTCTCTTTGAAAAAAAAAAAAAAAAAGAGCTACTCTAAAAGAGCCAAGGTTTTGTACTTTGGTTCTCTGCTGGAATCCACCTCCTCAGCCCTCTAAAATCACTTTACCATAGTGGCTGTTTTCAAGCAGGCATCTGTAAACTCTCAACTGATACCTGCCTTCTCCTGGCATGATACATCCTCTTTATTTTTTCTGCAGTTTGTCCTGCCTCTGCACACTCTGTTTTTGTCTGGAGTGTGGCAGGCAATTATTGCTAACTGGAATAGTCAGAAGCATCACAGGAGACGAGAAAGTGTCACAGAGTAACCCAAGTGCCACCGTCCATTCTGATGAGAGTGAAAGAAATTGTTTGTATTATAATACTGAATTTTCAGTCAAAGTTGAATTCTAATGGTTTTTTTATAGTTTAGATTCAAAATGGATTGGTGTGTACTTAAATTCTGTTGGTTTCATGATACTTCCTAGTTGAATTTGATACTGAGGAAAGTTTGTAAATGTGTACTTCATGTACATGAACTCACTGCTGGTTGTGATAGCAGGGATCTCAAGGAGACCAGAGGAATGACCATTCAGTCCCTGAACGCAGCAGTTCACAAATTGAAGAGGAAGCACGGGTTGAACCCATCAAGAAATCCCAGCATCGCTCTTCCTCAAGCCAACACCACAACCACCGCAGTGGTGTTAGAGGCCTTTCTAGGCAAGAAACTTTTGACTCAGAAACACAAGACAGCAGAGATTCGGCTTACGTAGAGCCCAAGGAGGACTACTCACATGAGCATGGTGACCACTATGATTCTCACAGGGATCACAATCATAGAGACGAGTCCCACGGGAGCAGTGATCACAGACACAGAGAATCAAGGCATCGCTCAAAGGAGAGGGACCGCGAGCAGGACCACAATGAATGCAACAAACAGCGAAGTCGTCATAAATCAAGGGACCAATATTGTGACAAGGATGGGGAAGTGATATCGAAAAAACGTAATGACGCAGGAGAATGGAACAGGGATGTTTACATCCGTCAGTAACTTTTGCCTCTGGCAGTCTTGTGTTTCTTTGAAGTCTTGTAACAATGCCCCTTGAAAATATCTTTGGGTTCTTCATTGCAGAACATATGGTATCCTTCTGTATGCTGATTTGTATTGCTGTTGCTTGCATAGCAATAGCATGAAATAGAACATTCATATACTTATTTTTTTGGTTAGTGCTATACAAATTAACGTGGTACAACCGCAGAGTTCCTGATGTTGTACTATGCCATTTTTCAAGCTGTTTTTTGGTAGCTGCCACTTGAACAATATCTGTTGCCATCAAGGTGTTGTTAGTGTTTTTTTAAAAAAGGTACATTTGATGTTTAATAACTTCCCATGTATTCAGCAAGCCAGAATCAGCACATAAAAAATCTAAAACTTTTTGTCTGCTCTGATTTTTAATTTGTGTGCACTTGATTTGCATATTGATTTAAGAGCCACTCTCTGTTGCTTGTACCTCTGGTGGACTCCATTTGAAGACAGAATTCAGTCTTGCCTTACACACAGGGGATCATAAAGTCGAATCTATTTTCTATGTACTGGTACTGTGTACTGTATATACAGTTTATAAATGTTATGTCTGCAGACACCTTCTTACTATCTAAGTTTGATCACACTGTTTTAGAGTCCTAATGCCAAGTCAGCAGATTTGCTTTTGAATTACTGGCAACTGGAACTAGCCTCATTTAGGAAATCTGTAACAGTGTTCAACCTAAATACTGCTTCTTCTGTAGCAGAAAGCTTATACTTCCTGTAAATACGAATGAGTGCTCGAGATAAAGGGTCTAACTCTTACACCTTACGCTGTCCTTGCAAACCCAGTTTCGCATTTTAAATTTATGGTAAAGATAACGAACAGGCCACTATAAATTATTCTTCTCTGTATAGGTCACAAAATTGCAATGGACACAGCTTAATTTTTGTCGTACTGCCATAGTACTAGAGCACATAGGACAGAGGTGTGTATGTGAGTGGGTGGGTGATGGATGGGTGTACGTGTGGGTGGTGGATGGGTGTACGTGTGCCTGTGCACATAAGGCAGCAAAGTGTGAGAATCTACTGAGGAAAACCAAGGTTACTCTAAAGCCCAACAAGTTGCTTTCTTCATTCTGTCTATTAGTTTAAAAATCCAAATTGCAGTCAGGGAATATGAGGGAGTTTACTGACCCAGGTAATTGAGAAAGCATAAATCTGCTGGCTCTTTGTTGAGACTTCAGGAGAGTAAAAACAGGCAAATGTTACTGTGAGTGTTTCACTGGAAATGTAAAATCTTTGTGTTTTGGAGTATTTGTTTTAGTAAGAAAAGTTTACACAGCTTGTGGAGTTATTTTGTTGGAAAATAAATTTTTGTAGCTTCTCCACTTCTACACTTGCCAATTCCTCTGCATTCCCACCTGGAGCCAGCTCACTGCTTTTCCTTCACTTAAACTGTTGTGCTGCTGGTGAGAGCTTACAAAAAGGACTGTGACAAAATACTCTGTTACAAGCTTGCTAGAGAAAATGCATTGAAATAGACAGAATGCATTGAAATTGAAGGGAGTGAACACAGTTTGTTTTGCATTGAACACCTGTTGCACTGGTAAGTGGGGGAGAAATTCACTATTATTTTTGACTACAGGTTCCACACCCTTGCCTAGTGTAAAAGCTGTTCTGCATTGCATATAGTCTTTGTAGTAACTGTATGAATGAAATACTTCTTGTATTTCACTGTAAATAGCACATTACATAAAGAATGTAGTGGGATAGTAATTAATTCAGCTGGAAGTTCTTATTTATTATTTTAATTCTGGGAATATCAGCATTGCCTGATTTTGAATATCATTTTAGTGAAATGGATAAGACATATGGCAGGTGCATGTTTTCTCTAATCTCCTATTCCAGCATCCAAACAACTCAGTTTAACTCCCTTAAACACACTCTGTCCTCCCTCCCCTCTCCTTGGTGCTTTATATGCATTTTTTACAACAACACAAGAGCATGTGAAATTCTGCTGTCAGAGATATGGCCATTCCTCCCAGTGCTGCTGCCTGTTGTGGTTATTCAAAGGTAGTGTTCAGCTCAAAGCATGAACTGTGGGAACACAAGGAAAAGGGTATTTTTCTAGAAATAAAATTCTCAGCATTTTTCTAAACATCATCAAATGACTCTGTAGGCAAAGGAAGCATAGGTAAGTAGAGCTGTTGTATTACTAAATGGATATATAAGAGTAGATAAACAGTGGCTTTTGATACGAGAGGGTTTTCAGGGTGTCAGTGGAAAATGGCATTGAAAGACTTTGTTGTTTGAATCATATCAGATCACATGTAAATGGGAAATGATATTGTCTTGCTCTATGTAGCCTGGCTTTAGCTATTTTACCACCTTCAGTAAAAGCTGTCGCTCCCTACAACTGTCATATGAGAAGTGGTCTTTGGATTCCACTTCAATACCTTTAATTTTTTTGTTCTTCTATTTTTTTTTTAACTTCTGCTCCAGAGAGTGTTTATTTTCCACCTTTCTTAAAGTACTTTTTAAGGAATGTTTGGCAGAATTTCAAAGCACTGAGCAGTGTCTGAAAACCATGGAGTAGGTAGCTACGTATAGATAAATAAATGAGGAAATGAAGAGCATAGTCCCAGCCCTGGTATTTAAGTATGGCCTATATATTGATTTATGGAATATAAATATCCTATCACAAAAAAAAGGCATGTCCCAATCCAACTAAGGAGAGAATCATGTTTTGTATAGTGCTGCTAATTATGTACAGACAACATCCTAACACATGCATTTCTTAGGCAGACTCACTTGGTAGGTTTTTATTAGCCTTGCTAAGATGCTTTCCTTCAGTTACTGTTTGAGGAGTGACAAATCATTTGTAATGTGAGCTTGTACTACACATATTGCACAGTACCATCTGCCTGCTGAGCACTACTTTGAAAAGCACTTTAACAGAATTATTTCAGTAAGAAGCTTTAAAAATACTCCAACTGGAGGACATATCGAAGGTTATCGTGATGAAATGTCTTTGCAAAGTTTTTCCAATAGAAAGTTTAAGATTATTGTTTGTGTTAGGATACTAATGAGTTTGTATTTCTGTGTCTGGTTTCAGGAGCTTTGAGTCTGAGGAATGCTTGAGGTCCCAGTGAGCTCCAGAGTCTTCTTATGTATGTGTGGTACAAAACAACCTGTAAAATTTCTATTCAAATAAGCTAAAAAGACAGTAAAACCAGTGAGACAGAAGGAAAGGGAGGAAGATAAAACAGTTAAGCGATCCATAGGTCTTGTCAGCTCTCACCCTGTATTTTTCTAAAGAATTTCAGTTTCTGGAAGGAATGGGATGCATTTTAACATTTACGTGTATATATGTCAGATATTAACCTTATTTTGTATGTCTTCACAAATGAATCCACATCAGTGCTGTTCAGCAGCCTGAGTCTATCCTTTATCAGTTGTTTAGTGTCACACAGACCTCATGGAAGAAAGAAACAGGTTTGGGCACAAAGACAGCATTAGTAGGAGTGAGAAGCTGAAAAGCCATTTTTAAATCAATCCATAAATTACTGTCTAGAAATTAAAAACATTCTTCTAGAATACTCCTGAATTCATATTCTGTGTCTGGCATCAGGAGTTCAGAATTTGAGAGGAGTTCCACAATTTTTACTATTTAAGGTGTAAAATTAAAGAGCTTCTCCTCAGGATTTGGCCCTAAGTAATAAAGACCAGTTTTAAAGCCCCAGTGAGTTTGAGTGGAGTACCTGTGTTCACAGCAGTCTGTAAACTTTTAACCTATAGCCCTTATTATCAGTGGAGGCTAAGGAGATGAAATTCCACTCATCAATCCCTGAATAAAAGTGGAGTCCTATTTTCACTGCTCCCTGCGTACCTGGCTACTCGTGCTGTACATGCAGTTCCTGCCCAGGTCTGATACCCTGCCTCTTAAGACTTCCTGTCATTTATGAATTTGTTTCTTAGTAATTATCATTTTTAAGCTCCGTTGGTTTGTAAAGTTACGTTCACATCCTGTGACACCTGCAGAGGTTTTAATGTGGTCCATGACCTATCTCTTAGTTGGAATGCAGTGAGTGGTCTGATTGCTTTTAATCAGTGCCTGTCCAAAGTAAAAAGGTTAGTGTAAACCACCTCCTGTGTTAGTTACTAAAGCCTGTTCAAGATCTGTTTTGGTTTGTGGTTTCACTTGACTTCTGATTGCTTTAATCAGGCTGAAAGCTATTTCCCAAATGCTTTTGACTTGAATTCTATTCTGTCCATGAAAACAAAGCACATTGGAAAAAACTTTATTAATAGTCTAGAGGCAGAACAGAGAAATTATTTTTCAGTGTGTAATATAACATTTCTGGTGTACATTTACTTGTATTTATTACTTTATTGCAGCTCTTTCACCAAAATTTTAGTTCTTCTGTCATCTGTAAAATATGTGGGTGCCATTTTTATTGTGAATGTTTTTAATCAAATGTTACTCCATCAAATTTATTGCTGGCAATTTGTCTATAATTTATTTCCCCACTTTTATATAACAAACTGTTACATATGAGCTTACAGTAGTTTTATAGACAGTTTCTTTTTATAACTTACCACCCTAGAGATGTGTTCCTACGCAGCCCCAAAAAAGATTTATATCAGATATAACAGAGATTAAGCTGCTGCTTCTAACTCATCCATGTTCTTTTCTTACTTTATTCTAACCACTCTTATCTATCATGCTTGCCTGCTCTGCAGTGAATTCTAGCAGTACAAAATTGGATTTGCTCATAAATTTTTAATTGTGAACAATTAAACATAAAAAGAAGGTTCTTTATATTTTAAACTACCCAGTCCAAAGTAATTTCTTGTTGATCACCATCACCAGCCTATTTCTTACTAAAACATTCCCTTTTCCTTAAAAAGTATATGAAATCCTATGATCTAAAAATTGGTGGACTCCATGACACTGAAACAGGAAAAAGCTGTATAATAATTTCATACTGTACTAGGCTGCCTATTTTAATATCTTTATATTGACCAAGATAAATATTTAGATTTGGCACTATTACTAATCCCTATTTCTGCAAATAGAGGAAACTACTTTTCAGACTTTCTTAAAGACAGGATCTGATTGCATGCCTAATCTGTCTATTTTGTAGGGTTAATCTTCCATTACAATGACAATAACTTTTTTAATTTAATATATAAATATTTCATATAATATATATATAT